CCATAAAAGATGGAGATTTATTTCATTAAACCGGACACGTTAGTACTTAAAACTAGCCTCAATGACCACAAACAACCAACAAGCCCAGTACCTTCTACTGCTGTGTTTATGGTCACAAACATATTTTCAACAGAGTCATCAACAGGAATGGTATATCGACTATCAGTAGATCCACTGGTGCTCCTTCCTTCTCTGCGCCTCTTGTTTGACCCGCCAGTCACCAAAACATAACCCTTCATCATCTTGATTGCCCAATTGTTCAATCTCTCCAGCTCCCCGAGATTGTGAAACATAATGAATTGACCAGAGGTATACTCCGCCAGTTTTAAGAAGGCTGGGTGAAGATTTTTTGGATTCCGGCTGTCACTTGATCGTCCGCAGTAATCTTGAAAACATTTTAAAAAGTTAAGTAACTGTATTCGGCATGCAGCACATGCAAGAGAGGTTCCTTGAATAACTGAGAAACAGATCACAAACAGATCTATCCTAAGGTTTCAAGTCAGCAATGTATCGATGTCAATAACTAATGCCTGCCATCAGTTATGTACCTAAATGATCTAATAAGCACCGCTTTCGACTAAGCGCCGCACCTTCACCGAAAATCAGTACGCGCCGCTCTCGTGTAAGCGCAACACCTATAACAGTGAAAATAAAATAAACGCCGCGGCGCTCAATCGATCATTTGCGGTAAAAGGTGTCCCCATATTTATCGCTACCTAGGAGATAGCCTAACATATGCCAGGGTACAAACTTTTCTATTGAATAGCTCCATTTGTCCACAATGTGTAGTTCCAGAAAATATTCATACCCCCCACGGAAGGCACTTTTTGCTTAAGACACCCCACCCCCCTGGAATTTCCATTACCCCCACCCTCTGGAATTTCCGTAACTATTCAACATGGTTGGGTACCCTCTGGAAAGAAAATTTATGTCAAAATGTTGTTGCACTATCTTATCATGTGAAAGATATTTTTTTCTGCGATAAAATGAGAGAAAATCTTTTCATTCATGTCAATACGGTGTGTAATAATCTCAAGGACGTTTTTAGCTTATATTTATTTAACCATAGAGGCGAATTACCTTACACTAGTGACTACACGAATAATGTCCGCTCTGCGAAAGAACTAGTTACATTCAAACTAAACACCACGTGAACTTTCATTACTTCATCCAGTTAGAAGGCTTAGAACACGACCAAATTACGGTGAATAAAAAGTGTAATAAATTAAAGCAACAGCTACATAACCGGAAGTTTATTCATGAGCCGATGACAATTGCATTAACTATCTATCATCTGAAACCATCGCCTAGCGGTGAAAAAAGCATTTAGCCGACCGTGCATAAAATAAGGTCAATGTAAACAGTAATACTTGTTTTGAAACACCGATAACAGTAAAATAACTGATAGCTTGCTCAACAGAGAAGCTGTTAATTACTAATAACTCACCAATAGTACTCAGTCCTCCTGAAAAAAAAAAAACCCTCTGTGGGCAGCCCCCTCGGAAATTGCCTCCATTTTGGACCCCCCACTCGGAATTTCCGTTGCCCTCCGTTGGGGGAGGGGGAGGGGTATGGATAAGTGGAGTAGACCCGTTCTTGAGAAAGCGTGTTAAACGGTAGAATTGATATATGGACCACTTTTAAGTCTAAAAAAGCTTAATTTTCTTTATTACCTGTTATCAAAAAATAGATAGCCACTTCAAGGTTTGTCGCCCATTCCTTTACTTCGGCAATATTAGCCTCCGTTGCGTCTTTTGGTCCTGCGTCAGTGAACACGTACAGAGGAGAACCAGGATATTGCAGAATACGTAGTGCTCCAAGAATTCCCGCAAACGTATACTCTGGGCAGTCCCCTCCTCCATGGGCCTCCAGTTTGTCAATTTCCTTTTGAAACTCCCCAGCTTCAGTTCCAGATTTGATAATCACTGGATCTGGGTTGGTTGGATCTACAGGAAAGTAAAATTAAAAAGTGAGGTACTGGGTTCAAGTGTCGATTAATTTGTAACGGAATAGAATAGACCCTTTCACGGTTTTTCGACTTTTGACATGGACAAGTAAGGAGAAAGCCGTCGACCCCACTGTAAAGAGCGCCTTTAACTCAGTAAAGTTCCCAAGTTTGAAAGTGATTTGAATGTTGGAAACTAACGAAGATATAGCTCTTCAAAGTCTCGATAGTTTCTATAGTTTCTATGGTGGGGGGCACAAATCCCCAGCATAGAAAGGTCCGTAAATTTTCGCAACTTTGCTAAGCTATATCTTCGCTCGCTTAAGACGTAACACTTTCAAATTTGACAATTTTACTAATTTTAAGGCGCTGTTTTGAGTTTAAGTTGTTACTAAAAAGGTTTCCACACACAGTTCAGATCAGATAATAAGATTGGCGTTTTGAAGCATTTTTGCTCGTTGCTCTTCAAAGATTGTTTTTGATTCGCTGCCTCGTTACTTGATGAAAAAGATGAAGTCCCCTCAGTCACGACACGCGCTAGCCTTTTGTATCGGTGAAAACGACTGTACCTGTAAGACCCTATAACACTAAAAAAATCCTACTTGCCACTGTAAACAACACGACATTCATAGCCAACTAACATAATTTTACTCACCCGGATAGGGGTCATTAAAAGGTGACAAGATGTACTCGTCTATTGGGAACTCCCGATCGTAATTGATGATATGTTTCGCTATCTTCTTTGCCGCTGAGATTTCTTCGCCCATGCTTCCTGTATCATCTATGGCAAACATAAGACCTACATTTCCTTGGACAGCCAAGAAGGCATCAAATTTATCTTTACCGACTTTTTCACGTAGATCTTGAAGAAACTTATTTAACTCGTCCGTAAAACTTCTCTTTTTTCGACGCGACGATCTTGTCTTGAGTAAATACATGATCTTTCCAGTGACCTGAAAAGGTGATGTGTTTGAGTACTTTTTATATTAGCCTGGTAGCCTTTGAGTAGTTTAAGGGGCTGTGTCATGGCAGTCCATTTCATTTTGTTTAATTTTGCCAATTACTCGCCCTCAGTCGCTATGGAACTTGAAGTAAGCAACGAAATTACATGTAAATGACAAAATCAGATATCCGTGACAAACAAATAAGTCTCCTGAGTACTATTTTTGAAGTTGCAAGCAGCAGGGATCAACTTTGAGAAAACGTTAGGCTGAACAGTTTGAGTTTTCAAAAACCCTAATTTCAATCCGTTTCAATCTTCTTCAGTTTCGCCCATCCGTGGCATCTGTTGTTTCTGTTATGTTATTTTAACCTTCCTTTTAAGTCTTAAGCGGTTATTTTTATGTTTCTCTTAATTTAACGGGCATTTAGTAGCTTCCTAATTTGGCTGAATTTAGTAGACTACGAGTAGTCCCTCAATTTTCCTCAAGGATAGTAGAGCGAGCGAAACGCAAGCGCGCGTGAAAATCACCCCACGCGAGAAGAGGTGATTTTTACGCGCCCTTGCGTTTCGCTCGCTCTACTGTCCCTGAGGAAAAATGGGGGACTACTCGTAGTCTAGAATTTCGTGACACAGCTCCTTTAATGACGACTGCCAAGCATTATATCAAAACGTTACAAACAACCAAAAAGCTGTTAGCCTAGAAAGTTTTAAAAAACACAACTGAAATACAATTACTTCTACAGTCGACTCCCGATAACTCGAACCTTCAAGGGAAATCGAAAAAAGGTTCGAGTTATCGGGAGTTCGAGTTATCGCGAGTTCGAAGAAAATAGCCGAGATTGAGGTAAAAAACAGTTTTTACTGCACAGTGAACATTTTAATCACATTTAATTGTAGAAATGTCAAGTGAAAATTAAAAGATACTTCTAGATTATAAATCAGAACGTAACGTAACAAAACATAGCCTAAACAGAGCATGCGTTTTACTGTTTTGAGAAGAAAAGCTGCGTCACGTTAGCCTGTGACAATCAACATCAACCTCCACTAGTAAACTATACTCCTACAACGCGTCAATACGAAATCCAAAATTCAATGTTTCGGACGGCTATTTTCCCGACTTTTTAAGGGCTCAAAGCATGGTTCGAGTTATCGAGGAAAAAATTATAGACAATGACCTGAGGGGAGACGAAAATTGGTTCGAGTTAGCGGGAGTTCGAGTTCAGTGGAGGGTTCGAGTTACCGAGGGTAAAATTACAGTGAATGTATGACGGAAATCCACGGGAAATCGATTTTGGTTCGAGCTAGCGCGAGGTTCGAGTTAGCGAGGGTTCGAGTTGTTGGGAGTCAACTGTACATCTATCTTACTACACTATTTCTACATTTAATAAGGGGTCCTATTAAATGGATTGCCGCCCTAACTTGGTCCCTTGTAAACTCTCCAACCGCCAGCTATTTCGTCCATGAAAACGCGTCACGGAATTATCTGAATGATCTTACCTCTCTAGCGTAAGTATAGCTCTTGCTACGTATTGCCTTTTCAACAAGATCCTTTAGTTTAGCTAGGGTAGCACTGCTGTACTTGACTCTCACAGCGTTTGCATTTGCCTCTGCTCGTTTAATGCCATTAACCGCCTTCATAAATTTGTTCGACGGAGAAGAACGTGGTTTGTAAACTTCGCGTTTTGTCTGTTTGATGATTACTGTTTCATTGATGGTGACGAGAATTATGGCTCCCGGGTATCTAAATACCCCGCCGTCCAGTGGACTTTTCCAGAAGTTGAAGCGCACTTTTACAGCTTGGCAATTTAGTGTGGTGTTACGTTCTGAAAAAGTGATAGCCGCGGATTGACAAAAAGAGGCTGCTAGATCTCTCCCCTCCCTCAACCATGCTGCTCTCAATGAGGGATCTTCAGGTGAAAATGAAAGCCAAAGGGGAGAACGTATCCAATTCCGACAATAATCCGCCCACGTCGAATTACCGCAGAGATCCACCCGGTCCCCAAGGTCTGCTTGAAACAGTTCAGTTTCGTTTACTTCATAGCCATCATGAAATTGTAACCACGATCGCGAGTGTTTATATTTTCTCCTTTCTTCTAAGGGAATGCCGTATGTTTTATTAACCATCCTCGTTATTTTCTCTGTGGACAGAATGATTTCCACCGTTCGTTGTGAGCCACGCGAAAATTCCATCAGCGTCTCGCAAGAGTTTTCTGCACACAACAACCAAAGGAGAGCTGTGACGGCGCAAGCGAGGACAATTCGTTTCTCCATATTGCTTAGCGGATGCTATGCTCTTTTGAAGTAAGCAATTCAACATGTAAATTATGCTGGAGATAGTTTGGAACGAGAAAAGTAGAACAGTCTTCACTTAAAACCGAATAGAAATAAAGCGTTCTCAGTACATTCATTAAACATATGAACAGTCGGAAACAGATCTCATTTCCATTAACTCATCGTCTGTTAACTCATATGCATGATGTTAGCTGAAAGACTTCGCACCGGCCCTTTGATTCGGCTAGATAATAAGAAAAGAAAGCCTTAAAAGGGCAACCAAACGACACAACCGCAACTTAAACTTTCAAGGACGGACCTCACACCATCTTGATAGCATGTTTTCCTCACGTGTTAAGAGAGAGGATGCACAAATCGATGCCAGAAAATATCGTCTGGAGGAGAGCAAAGGTGAACAAGCGAACCTCACACCATCTTGATAGCATGTTTTCCACACGTGTTAAGAGAGAGGATGCCCAAATCAATGCCAGAAAATATCGTCTGAAGGAGAGCAGAGGTGAACAAGCAGAAATTCTGAAAAATGTAACCCCAAGAAGCCCAAGCGGAAGATTTTGATGGACAGATGTAGAAAAATAACCAGACTTAATTTTGGGACTAGTCCCTTGCAGGGTTTTTGGTGTGTGAAACGGATCAATCCGAGTTTATTGAACAACTCGTTTGTAATGCATGTGCTTATAAGACCCTCAATAAAATTGTTCCGTTCCGAACCTGACCCGGCACCATTTTAAAGTGATACTCTTTAGGCTGGCTCCCTTATAAACACCATGGTCGCAAGGTAAGTTCTACCCAAATATGAACCGATCCCAGCCCAGATCCCAGAGGTTTAATGGAAACAATCCTTAAAACAGAACTGAAGCCGGATCACTGTACTGTGATCATGTGATTATCTAGACTGCTTGCAGTCCGCCTTTTCTCTTTTAAAAAATCCGTCTAGTTGTTGATCTCATCCAACACGATTGTAAACCACGATGTTATTATATAGGGATCAAGCGGCTTCGCCGCTCGCGTGCTTAGGTTTTGCGTGTAGTAACTTTGCAAAGAAAAATAAGGGACTGCTCGCAGTCTAGTGATTATCAAGCAAGTACTTTTTATATGATGATTGTTGGCGATCGTAAAAGTTAATTGGAAACAGAAATTAAGGTGATGACACGTTTCGTTATCTTCCTTTAGCTACACTGGTGGCCTGCTTAATTTGGTGCCAAATTTTGTGCTTCCTTTTAATGTATGTTTGGAAATTTTGTTTTTCGTGGTTTTCGAATTTAGCCGGCGTCAGGTCACCCTCCTGATCACTCCAACCTCAAGGAAGTGATCTGCTTACATGTTTTCTTACATAATCAGATTGCGTGTTCGATCCTCAGCTAGGGTGCACCTCACGATCGCAACTCCAGCTTAAAGGAAGAGAGGTTTTCTGACATAATCTCTCTGATCTCCTCCACGGAGGTTCCCGCTGGTTATCCCAATAAAAATAGCAATTATCGAAAAATAGACAGCGCGCGGGGGACAATGTATTTCACTCACTTTTAACGGTGAGCTCACCGGTTTTGCACGCACTCGATCAGATGTAAACAAATAAGTTATGTTTGAACATTTATTTATTGTTGTAATACCTAATGTTTTTCTCGTGCTTTTCAAACTATTGTCCCGCTAGAATTAACCTTTATTCAGCAAACATTCAATCAAGTCTCACTGAGGTTTTTCACGGGAGCTGTTTTGGAAGCTGTAAGCTTAATCTACCTTAGCTTCCGTGTATATGAGACGTTCATATGATGTTGGGTACTAAATTCTTTCTACAATGCCAATAAATTGGTCCACAACAACAACAAGGGGCTTTTTTTGCATGACCATCAGAGACAAGTCAGACACACAAGCAGTTATTGCAAAAGCTATTTTAAGAGGAAGAACTAAAATTATATGACAGGGCAATTATATTAGAAGTTACTTTGGCAATAATTTGTCACGAAGATCAAAGAAAGCTGAAATATATTTCATGACAAGTAATTAGAGGTGTTCATCAGTGAGTTCGTTGATCAAAACGTTTACAGGTAACTGGGTATTAGTAAAATCCAACTAGTGATCTATTATCAATGCTATATATTATAGCCCACTAGTAGCGAAAAGTGTCGGCTTTTAAAACCAAAACAATGGCGGCTGACTCACGTTTTGCTAGCTTAAGTTGTTTTGTGTCGATATTTTTGACCAACTAGTTGGATTTTACTAAAACAATTATTCCTCTCGCTCTCATCGCCCCTAAATCAAAAGCCCATTCGGCCTTCGGCATCATGGACTATTGACTCAGAGCCCATTCGAGCTTTAGGGATAATTGTTAAATATTTGGAATCAGAATCTTGACTTTATTAATTGTTAAAATTATTCATAATCATAGAGAATGTAGGTCAACGAAAAAGAAAGAGAACTTCGTCTTCTATTATATTGGATCCACAAAAAGGGTAATGCCTATTATCTTTCGTAGTTTGATTGCATCTACCAATTTCTTTAGTTTGTGATTGCTTATTCGTGGTTTTACTAAAGCTCTTCTCCTGGCTATTACTGTTGCAGGTTAATGCACCGTTAACCGAGAGGACCTGGGGGTGAGGTTGGGTTGTGAAGACAAAGATGGCGGAACAGTCTGCGGAACATTTTACTCGTTTCACGACGAACTATTGTCTGAAAACATAACAAGAAGACAACTCGACGGATAACATCTGCTATTTGGAGTATATTTGCAGACCTGAACAGCTCTTTATCTTCTCAACATCCACTATCGAGGTGAACTTAACATCGACGAAGGTAAGCATGTTTAAGCTTGTTTTAAACTAGGAATTATTTTGAATGAATAATAAAGCAATTAATGAATTCAGCTTTCGGCTTTACACCCTCCGATATCTGCCTAATTCTTCATATCCTACTCAGCCTCATTCGTTAATCGTTAAGTAATTACAGGTGTGGTATAATCGGTTTTTAAAGAGAATGTTGAAGGGTGTTTTGCCAATTTGACATACAGTACTATTTCATTGATCATGAACCTACATAGCATTTTTCATACTAATAAATCAGGATTAAAGTCAGGTACAGTGGAACCCCTCCTTACGGCCACCTCGGTAATACGGTCATCTCGTTATTACGGTCACTTATTTGGCCGCCCGGAAAAACGATCATACAAGAAAAAAAACCCTCGTTACTACGGTCAGGCGCTAATACGGCCATTTTTTTTTGGCTTTTGGTGACCGTATTAACGGGGTTCCACTGTAGATTGAAATATTCTCACATATTCATCAAAGTGTAAAGGAGGGCCATTATGAAAACTACTGGGTGACCAGTAATCAATGTCTTTACCCTCGTTAAATAAAGTTATTACCTTACCTAAATGAGAGTAGAACGGCTATTTTTGCCATTACAGTGTAAGAAGCGTCTAAGGCCCCGTTCACACTTATCCGGATATTTTTGCATGCACAACTTTTTTTGCAGGTTCGGCTTCCGTCCACACGTATCTGGTGAATCTGGCAGACGAATCTGCAACTTTTTGAATCCGCTCTCCAAAAGTGGAATTCTTGAATACGCTATAAATCCGGAATCGTGTGGACGCTAAATACGGATGTTTTTTTTTTTTTATCCGGCGTCGTAGCAAGATCCAGACCAGTTCTTTACGGTGAATAATACCGTGAATACTTTACTCAAGATAGTAACCTTGTCCCCAGGATTTTTCTCTTACCCGCTTAACGACACATGCTCTGTTTCCAATATTCCCAGTCGTCCTCGGCGATTTCGGATGTGGCGTCATCTGTCAAGTTTGTCCCTCTTGTAACTCGAATAGCGTGAACTGGCCTGGGTACGAGGCTGGGTACTAGAGTGAATCCGCGGATACATGTCGGATACGTCTGGTTGGGCAAATTCGATTTGAATACGGATATACGTACTGTGGACGTGGAAATCTTTTAATCCGGAAAGAAAAAATCGTTAATCAAAAAAAATATCCGGATACGTGTGGACGGGATAAACTTACTTTCTCATTATTTCCATTGCATAATCGTTAGTCGAACCTTTAAGGGGAATACAAAAAGTTCCGGAGTTATCGAGAGTAAAATTATATGAAAATGATCGGAAAGAAAATCAAAATTGCTTTGCGTGAGCGAGAGGTTCGACTTTAAAGAGGGTTGATGTAGAAAGTTGTCAGAGTCCCAGATTTCTCTACAGTCTATAACAGGCCGCCATTCAGTCATCTCAATGCCGATAGGCACAATGCTTAAACTATCAGCAAAGGGAAAAGATTTTTAATACACTAAGAAAAGGCCAGTTTTACTGGAAAAAGGAGACGAAAAAAAAAGAAAAATGAATCTAAAAACGAAAATGTGTTTACGTCTTGGGACCAAAAAGATTCGCTGATCGCTCTGTGTTGCCAACTTCCAGAAAAAAAGCATTAAATATCATTTGTTTTCTTAGAGACTAAACAAAAATGGTCGAAAAAAATTAATTTTGAATGGTACTGAATGTCCTGTCTGCTGTCTAAAGTGGTTAACGTCTGTACGGACTCATTGAAACCCTCGGGGTTGACACAAAGTCATGGTTGAGAGTAACTATTTCACGAAACTTCGACTAAAAATCACTTAATTGTCAACAAGCAGATGAACCGTTTCCGAGAGAACAGTTCTTGAGATTCGACCCTTGAGGATAATGAAAACTGCATCTGTCTTCCCCACGTCCTCAGATCGAGTAGCTTTGGCGAAAATAGAGATGTACTTACAACGGCCTTTTATTACGCGTTTGGGACTCAGGCGACGATGGAAAACATAACGCCGTGTGTCCTTTGCGACGAGAAAATCAAAAGTTTCAGTGGCCCCAAAGTTGCACAGTTGAAAACGAATAAATGTGGTTCTGCCCAAAGGAAGGGTATAATAATTGCTTGCGTAAGTTCCCCTTAGAACAGCCGTGGTTGTTTTGTGGATTTTATGGGAAATTCTCTCAAAAGGGTAACCTTTTTGTGTCGTGCCCTTCACTTTAAGCTTAAATGGTCGGCCATTTGCATGGGCATTAAAGTCGACCACAAAACGACCTCGGCTTTGTGGCTGAAGGGTGAGGTCACTGATATATCTTCCCTCTGTGGTTACGAGTTGCAGTCTCATGGAACTGTTGTCTAGTTTTTCTGATCCAGCGACAGAAATTATGATTTTGTTTAACTTGCCTAAAAGAAAAAAAGAAAGTATGCGGTTAAGAAAATAACAAAATCTAACAAGAGGTCAACCAAAGATCAATTTTGTACCTTCAACTGAAAACTCATGGTTCGATTACCACAGGGGACTTACAGTACCTTTTTGTGGTCATTTTCTACATTTAGCATAATTACCTCTAAAATTAAGTCAAAAAGTGAAAACAGTACGCAGAAGATGCCTTTTAGGACAGCTCTTTCGTATACTGGGCTCTTGAAAGCTGAAAACCTCATTAGTACAGTAGTTAAGATGAAAGTAAAAGGAAGCAATGCCCCCTCCCAAAACTGAGACGATTTTATCTACTCTGCTAGAAATGAGACTGGCTTACCAACAACTGGATTGGAAATGGGAACTTCAGTAGGCTGTCTGTGCCAAGAAAGTTTAATCAGGAAGTAATGATCGAAATCTACGTTAGTGTCGCTGCTTGACTTGACAGAGTACTCATGATCACCATTACTACCTGGCACGGTTAGGCTCCAGGTTCCCTTTCTAGGATTGGTAATTTCATAGATGGTGATATGTGACAAACTAAGTTTTCCAGATGTTATTTCAACGTTGTCTGCATTTTTTAAGACGATTCCATGCCCTGTAGGGACGATAAGAAAGAGGGAGTTAAACCTATTATTCGGCTCCTAAAGATACACCATCTAAACGTCTTGTTCTTCGTACTAATAATTTATGGATGCTGTTAGCTGATAAGAAAAACGTTAACAGCCGTTCATTTACATAGAACCACCATATCACCAATTCCCCTCTTTGGAAACGAGAAGGAAACTTTCGCAAAGACTTCTTGGGCTGTTAGTATGGACAGGGGAAGATATTTAACAATTATTCTTCGAGCCCGAATGGGCTCTGAGTCAATAGCCCATGAGTGCGAGAGGAATAATTGTTTTAGTAAAATCCAACTAGTTGGTCAAAAATGTCGAGAATAAAAAAATTTTAGCTAGGTGAAAGCTAGACTTTAATCCTTTTTTGTTGCCAAAAAGCCCGCGCTTTTCGCTACTAGTTGGCTATAACATATAGCCTCGTAAGTAGCTCAACCAGTCAGAACGCAGCATTGATAATAGACCACTAGTTGGATTTTACTATTGGCCAATAGCTGACCTTGCGCGTCCTCAATAACGATCCCAGAAACAATTGCGGGGGACATTTAGGCTCCAGTTCCCTTCTCGTTTCTAAAGTGGTGAATTGCTTGCCGTCTTTCAGCAGTTGACAAATTAGGGTGCCATGTGCCATGACGTCACAAGCAACTGTTTGTTCATATGAAAAAGAAATTTGGTTACACAGTAGTTTTCAGGGAGTTATAATAACTCCTCTAGTGGGGCTAATTTTACTCCTTATAGTGGAGTTATTTTTTGAGGAGTTATTTTAACTCCAAAAAGGAGTTTAAAGAACTCTTTTTCAGCAGTACAAGTGACCCCAGATATTGAGGAGTTAAAATAACCCCAAAAAAGGAGTTATCCTGTACACAAATTTTTTACTCCACTTTCAGAGTTAAATTAACTCCAAAAAGAGTAAAAACAACCCATGTAAGAAGTAAAAGTGATTAACCCCATTTCGGACTTATTTTAACTCCAGACTGGGAGTAAAAAGAACTCTTTTCAGGAGTAAAATGACCCCAAATTCGGAGTTAAATTAGGAGTTAAAGTAACCCCCAAAAAGAGGTTATCCTGTACCTAAAATTTTTTCTCCATTTTTGGAGTTATAATAACTCCTTAAAAATTACGGTGATTGCAGGGCACATTTAGGCTCAAGTTCACTTCTTGATTCTAAAGTGGTCAATTGCTTGCTGTCTTTCAGCAGTTGACAAATTAGGGTGCCATGTCAGTAACATGACGTCACAAGCAACTGTTTGTTCATATGAATGAGAAATTTGGTTACTATTTCAGGAACGAGTTTATTTTTAGAACGATTTTGGCGCGAATTCAGAATATTTTTGAAAAGTTTCACCAATCATCTAGCAAAACATACAGACCTGAAAAATCGCGGGTACTATTGACCTTTTAATGACGTTTAGTTATCCTCGTTCATGGATGTCCTATTCTTCGAACCAAGCTAGGCTTCCACTTTCGTGGGAAAAAGTGCTCTAAAAAACCGGCCCGAGAAAATAAGGATCTCGCTCTGGGTTATTAACTCCTGATCCCGGACAGTTCGCGTTAATAATGATTATTTTAAATGTTTACTCATATTTACAATTGCTCAACAAGTATCGCGTACCTTCTGTCGCAGTATTTATGGTCACAGACAGCTTTTCAATAGAGTCATCAACAGGAATGGTATATCGACTGTCAGTTAATCCAACAGAACTCCTCTTTTTTCTGCGCGTCTTGTTTGAGCCGGTAGATACGATAGTATCACCCTCCAATGTTCCGATTGTCAAATTGGTCACTTGTTCCAATTCCCCTGCGTTGTTAAACATGATGGCTAGACCAGAAGTGCTCTTAGCCAGATCTAGGAAGGCTGGGTGAAGATTTCTTGGATCGCGCGAGCTGTAACCTCGACTGCGACAATAACCTTAAAACATTTTAAGAAGCTGAAGTTAAGATAAACTTTCTTAGCTAGCATGAAGCACATGAAAGGCAAAATACTCTCTTACTCTCCAAGCTTGGCCAATGACGGATTTATTATATTTTTCCCGCGGGCCCAACGGGGGAAATAACGAGCCTTGCACTCAGATAGCCAATCAGAACTCAGGATTCGCTTCCTCTTGCCCGCTCGAGAAGTCAGCCATAAAAAAGTTAATATGAGGTTAATTTGAGGCCCAAAATCAAGAATTGTCCCCTAATTATACCTGTGGTCAAAAAGTTAATAGCTACGCCACGTTCTTTAGCAATCGTCCTCACTTCCTCAATGCCCGCTTCTGTTGCATCCTTCGGTCCTGCGTCAGTAAACACATACAAAGGAGAACCATTCATTTCCAGATCATTTAGTGCTCCACGCATTCCCTCAAACGTGTACTCTGGGCAATCTCCGCCGCCATGGGCCCTGAGCTTTTCTATTTCTTTTTCAAACTCTCCAGCTTCGGTTTGGTTCTTGACAATCACCGGATCGGCATTTGTTGGATCTACCGGAATTCAAATATAGATTTAAAAATGACGAACTGTGTTCAAGTGTCGACTCCTTTGTTTGGCATTGCAAAGTGTTAATTGGAGTCATTAGCAGAAAAGGAGATAAAAAGTGTAATTTCTTGAAAAATAGTATATTTTCGTGCATAATTTAAACGATTTGGTAGAACTTTGCTTCAACCCTTTAAACCCTAAGATCAAAATATGAATTCTTGTTTGTTGCCCCTATTCATTTCCTACAGAAGAAGTGGGGAGAAGTTGATAAAATATCAAGCAAATTCATCTTGTGTGATCATGTCCGCAATTCTCATGACTACTGACTCAGCATTTATATGACAAGGAGAAATTTGATGGTGATCACTCTTAGCGCTTAAAACTTTAAGGTTAACAGTTATGTTTCTTCTAGGCGACTTAGCGTCTAATATTTCTTTTCCAAAGACCTTGACTGCCCGAAATGAGCTGTTTTTTGTAGCTGTCTCGGCAGGACTGAGAAGAAAGACCTCTGACAACGAACCAAACACTCCCTTGTCATTAAATATAACTGCTGTATAGGAAGCCCATGAAATCTGTTTGTAACCGTTTGTTCCGAGTTTTTATTTTATAGTACATGTATAATCCATTTCTGAGTTCCAAAATCCCTAGCCTGTTGCAGCCCCTCAGATAGTGTGGACTGACGACGTGAAAGGAAAAGGCACGCAAAAAGTTGGCGGGGCGTTTCATTTTCGTGTTCGTGCTTTCTCAATTCAGCGAACCTGACTATCTCGGAGCCTGGAACTGGCTACAAAATCCCCCCTTACAAAGCGAGGCTAAGTGCAAAACCATTTTTGTGAAAATAAGTTTTACAGGCAGGAAAATAAAAGGTTATTTTCATATCAACGGCTTCGCACCTAGCCTCGCTTTGAGACAGAGGCTTGGAATAACTGGTAAATGGCCTATTGGATTCGTTTGCTTCATACGTATATATAGCGATATGTGGCTAAATATGTGCACTTACCAATGCGAAAAAAACGTTGTACCGTACGAATTTAAGGTAAATTGTCCTCCTTTGTCTCAGAAATGGTATTTGAAGCAGTTCTGTAGGATTTTGAGTTTGTCGTTTACTGCCGAGAGGCACAGTAAACGGCGAGCTCATAATCCGTCAAAATTGCTCAAAATGTTGGTTCTGAACCAAAAAAACGACGGCAATCTAATATACTACAGATAAGGTTACAAAAGATTACTTAACATTGACCCATGTGCCTGTTGGGCGATATATTTTCACAGATTGAAGGCAAACGTAAAATCGAATACAGTTACAAAATTACAATCGGTTACGAACAGATGGTATGGATGCCCTGAGTGCTGTTACTGCAACACCGAAAAAATTAAGTACTCACGTGGCACAATTAACAGACGACACGAAAGACGGAAAAAAAAACCATTATTTTACTCACATGGATAGGGGTCGTTAAATGGCGACAAGATGTACTCCTTGATAGGGAACCTCCGCTTATAGTTGATGATATCTTTAGCGATCTTCTTTGCCGCTTGGATTTCATCGTGCATGCTTCCTGTATCATCTATGGCAAACATAAGACCTACATCGCCTTGCACAGCCAAAAAGCTATCAAATTTAGCACCACCGACCTTTTTACGAAGATCTTGAAGAAATGCCTTTCCCTCACCTGTTGAACTCCTCTTTTTCCGACTTGACGATTTTGCCTTAGTGCTCAGTAAATGCATGATCTTTCCGACGATCTGAAAATGTTTAAATTTACAGGAAGAGAATCTGATTTAAAAGAGTGCAGAATATCACCTTTCCAGTCGCATAAAGTCAGCTTGGCTAGACTTTCATTTAAAGATCTCGCTATCTTCACTGCACTTTTTAAAATACCTTGTGAAAGTACTGCTCAATACCGAGGTTTAGCTGGAATGGCTCCTGGCCAAACTGAAATGACTAGTCTTACTTCCTGAATTTAAGTAACATGCACAACAAGCTTAACATGGTACTATTTTTGCATAGCTTTAGCAGAAATACGTTCAAGAAATTTAATCTTCACCATAATTTACACAGCTCTGCCTGTTCAGAATGATTTAGAAGGCGTGTGAACTAAAAAAGCTTCCTTACTCTTTACTCTTTTTTTTATTCCTAGTTAACCCCTATCCGCAATTAATTTTCAGAGTTATCTTACCTCTCTAGCATATATATAACTCTTGCTCCGTATTTTTCAACAAGACCCTTTAGTTTAGCCAGGGTAGCGTAGCTATACTTGACTCCTAAGGCGTTTGCATTTGCCTCTGCTAGTTCGATGTCGTTGATGGCCTTCATAAACTTGTTCGATGGAGAAGTACGCGGTTTGTACACTTCGCGTTTTGTCTGGTTGATTATTACTTTTTCCTTGACTGGCACGAGTACTATGGGTTCCGGTACTCCACTTTTGTCACTAAATGTCATTAGTAGATCCTTTGGCAAGTCCTTTCTCATTGAGGGATCTAACGAATCTTTGATTTTGTCAGATGGGATTGTAGTAAAAGAAGAGGTGGCAGTCTTCATCACACTTTCATCGACTTTCTTTAGTGAGGTCTCACTGATGCCGTTTGCTTGACTTAGTATCAAGACATACGTTTTATTGACCATCCTCGTCGTACTCTCTGGTTCAAGGTTAATAGCTACAGTTCTTTGTGAACCTCGCGAAAAATCCAGCAGGGCATCACGGGTGAATTGCAGCGAGGAGAAAAAGCTGCCGGAGGATTTTTCTGCAACCAGCAACGAAAGGAGAACTGTGCCGACCAAAGGGAAGAATGTTTGTTTCTTCATATCGGCAAGTTGGCGGCTATTCTGTCCTCAAGGTACTTTTCTTTGTAATGACCTGTAAATCTTCCGACTCTTAACCCCCTTATATGCACATCTCCAGCAATTATAGACTGCTTACTTCACTGACCTGTTCGACTGAAAGAAAAACAAGCTGAATTAAGGTTATCAGCACGTTCGCTGTGAACCAAGAGTTTGCTTGTCGCTGAAACCGAATTTCACGCACTTGATCTATGATAACAGGTGTTGGATTTCCACTCACGTTTATGCTATGAATGCCGGACGGTTTGTGCATGTTGAGTGAAGTGCAGTGAGGATGAGAGCCTCCCGAATTTTGCTGCACACAAAAGTAAAGGCAGACGTGTAATAACCCAGGGAGTGAAAAAGGTTATTTCTCCGTAATGACAAATCGGCTGTCACTTCCTCAAGGTCTTTTTCGCGTTCGTCAGAACGCATCCTAATCTTGGTGTTCCTGTGGTACAAAGCCTCCAATTCTCGAGGTACCACGGGCGACTGTCCATTAGCGGCCCCTACTGATTTTATCGGGGGCATCTTGGCCGGGAAACTGGACACCTTTCGACTTGAGTACGTGTAAATGACGACCGCAGCTCCGTAAATCAATGATTACCTCTAGTCTTTATAAACAGAGCAACTTTAAAGTTAAACTTCTCTCAACCGCACATCTCGAGAGGGCAGAAGAAACTTTAAAAAGTTTCCTTCCCCTGTTGCTGAAAGGGAAATAACCTCAGATAACCTGAAAACCGTCAACACGTTCTCTGGGACAAGGAAAAATAAACATTTCAATTGTCGTTGTGACTGAGCAAACTCAGTTAATTCGCGGAAAACCGGATGAAGGTTTCATTGAAACTCTGACTATGGCAGAAACCTGATGTCTTTAATAATGACTAGGATTTTTGCCCCGTTTTGTGGCATGGAGATTCATTTCTTGGTAACCCGATAAACTATCAGAGAGAAGGTGTATCTCCCCTGGTCATTTTTTAGTAAACGTCGACTACACGTAAGCGCAACGAATCGATAATAAACCCTAAAAGATACGACGGACACTTCCGTCGTTAAGGTACAACCCCGTTTGTCATCGCGACGACAACTGATGAAAGTCCAGCAATTTGAACGATCTCATCGTTCCTAGACTGCTTGCAGTCCGCTTTTTCTCTTAAAATGCATCTTGTTCTTATCTCAGCCAACCCGATTGCAAACCAAGACGTTATCCAAGTGGTAATAAGGAAACTAGCCTTAAACAACACAGCAATCTAACTGCCAAGCGACGAGTTGTTGTTTTCATATAAACGTTGCGATCATTGATCGACCTTTTTTAGCGATTCTGGTGGCTACAGCGCTCTTATCGATTATATTTAAACAGCCCTTGGTCATAGTGGGACAGCTTAGCTATATAGTCACACCCCGTTAATATGGACACTGATCGAGGGGGACATAAAAAGTGTTCGAACTTTAAGGGCTTTCTTTCCCCAGGGACAAAGCAAACTGTCCGTAATAATAATGAAGTGTCCGTCTTATGCGGCGGGTGTCCGTATAGCGGGGTTTGACTGTATTTTGGGGTTCTTTAGGCCTGTTTCAAACGTCGTGTTAGAGCCGTGCTAAGCTGGCTCGACTGTAGCTCGACTGCAGCACCGACACTAGCACGACTTGATTTCAGACGTCGAATTTAATTCACACAATGACAGTCGATATTGAACGGCTGTTGCCAAAAACACACACAAAATTATAGAACCGGTTTAGCAAACTTTTAAATATATTCTAATATATTTATAATTTATGAATTGAGTTCGGCACGGCGGTAGCACGACGTTTGAAACCATTTCGAGCTACTGCCGTGTAGTACGGCAAGGCTTGCCGTGCTATACGGCAGTAGCACTACTTGGTTTCAAACGTCGCGCTACTACCGTGCTAAAGTCGATTTAATTCGATCAGTTGAGTTCGGCACGGTAGTAGCACGACGTTTGAAACAGGCCTTTGCGGTTTGCACGCTACACTCGTGTTTCAGTCCTATCGTGCAGTTTCTAATGTTGGATGTTATAATTCCACTGCCTTTGAATTTGGTGGCAGAGTCGCTTATCTTCACTCCAGCTTGGTACAACAAATAGATAATAAAAAATAAAACATTAGATTCACCTAACAGCAGTTAAAAGTATGGAATCATTCTCCAGTTAAAGGGTTCCTAAGTTTCCACTGAAGAAGTGGGTAAGGTTCAAGGAAGCAAGGGTGTGTGTAAATGGGAGTGTTGTGGGCATAAATGAATTGAAACGAAGATAATTAGCTTCAGGAAGACTGTCATAAAGACAACAACGACGCCCGCGGCATCATGAGAAGGAGAATTTGTTTTCTCATATTGATAAGCATGCTGTACGGTCTCAGGTTACTCCTAAGAAGGAAACAAAACTTTAAACCGTTTTTGTACTTCTCGCTGAAGCACGTTTCTTATGAACGTTTAATAGAACATTTCACTTGTCGCTGATACGGAAGAAAAGATTAAATCTTTAAGCAGTCACACCATCTGCAATGGGAGCAGGTGTCGGATTTCCGCACCCGATCCTTTAAGACAACAAGATAGCCTAGTTATTTAACCGTATTCGTCGTTCAGGTCTTCTTATTTCCCTATTTACCCTGAGCTATCATATGCTAAGGCTTCAGAGCTGTCCGGACTTTTAACACTGTATGATAGAAGAGAGGCAATTGCGACAAAGTTGTTCGATGAAATATGTGCTAATCAATCTCAGTCTCCACAAACTACTTCCAATTAAATACCAGCCAAGCTACTCTCTGAGAGAACAAAGAACATTCCCTCGTCCAAAGTGTAAAACTGAAAGACGCAAGAATAGTTTTCTTTAAAGTTATGTTTACAGTAGTTGAGAACTGGATTTAATTTTGTTTCTTATCAAGGTATATATAGGAACTTGACGCACGCTTTTGAATTTGTGATTTTATAACAGTTTTAAAATCGTAAATTATGTTGCATCATCTTTCTTTTATTAGTTGTACAGCGCTTTAATTAGTTGTAATTTAGTGCAGTTGTAAATTATTGCACTTGTAAACCTTATCGCAATTCAGCTCTTGGCTGCAAGTTTTTAAGGTGTTTAAACTATCTATCCATTTATGACTTGTTGTTTAATAATATCACAAAAAGTTCAAAAAGGCGATTAGCAGCAGTGTTAGTGATATGACGAGCCATTTATCAGTCCTTCTCAGTGATAACTTTTTGGGGGAAGCTCGTACCCCCTTTTAGTTACAACTGGTATTTGCAAAAAAAAAAAAAAAACAAGGTTTTTTTTCGCTAAAAAAAATCCTGGAAAGGACTTCCTCGACCCCTTTAGTTAGTTGAACAAGGTTTTTTTTTTTCAGGTTTTTCTCTTTTTTTGTTTTCGCTTTGTCAAGGGTCCGTGACACCTTCTACGAAAAAGATATAGGTCAATTCTCAACACAACTACTTTATATTAGGTCATTGGTCACCTGTTGCGGGTTTAGTGTTTACGTAATGATCGTTACGATCACTGTAAAGACAGTAAAGAGGTCAGCAATCTGAAGATCGTAGCGTTCGAAGTGGCTAAATGGAAACCGCCCTTAAATACGACGATTGCAGTGATCATCAAGGAGTTGTTTTCACTTTCTTATTTGGTTGGGGCCACCTAACTTCATTCCGGCTCAAAGGTGACAGAGGAGTTTGGCAGCCTTTTGTTGCATAGGCGCATTCACGCATGTTCCCCAATTCAGCCCGCCACTCCATACCACCCTTTACTACAGACACTAAGGGGGCCATACAGTGTCCGTATTAACAGGGTATCCAGTTGAATTTAGAGGAACAGAGGCCTTTCTCTCCCCAGGGGCAAAGCAGACTGTCCGTAATAATAAGGTGTCTGTAAAGCGGGGCTAGTTAGACTAACTGATTTTGTTCCACATCCATTTACCAAATGAATTATATGATCAATCATTTATTGTAGTGCTTCTATTAATATCTACGGCTTCTTGAGCTTTACAATCCAGTTTAATCAGGAATTAACTCTCATCAGTGTCAATCCGCTTACATCAAAAAATTAATGGCGTCTACAACTGATTTTCACGTGGAACTGTTTTTGTGACCCGTTCAGAGTTCTTAAACCTTCCGTGTATTAGAAAACAAAAAAAATTCTCTTAGTACAGCAAAATCTTTAAAAGCGTTAGCGTTTCTTTACTAGAAGTGCTGTTTGTTTTTCTCTACGACACCACAAATAAACGTACTGTTTGCGAAACAACAACGCTTGAACTGTTTCCTTTTGCGATGACAAACACAGAATCTGTGGTTTCCACGTCCTCTTGACGAGTAGCTCGGGCGCGAACAGCGATAGTCACGCAACGGCCTTTGATCACGCGTTTAGGGCTCGGAAGCCGAGAACGGTCAATGTAACGCAATCTATCTTTTACGACAGCAACGTTAAAAATTTCGGTGTTGCCAAAGTTACACAGCTGGAAATGAATAAACGTGTTTCTCCTTAGAGGGAGGGTGTAATCATTGCTGGCCCTCTTGGCCCTTAGAACAGCAGTGGTGGGCTTAATAACTTGATGGGAAATTCTCTCAAATGGGTTACCGCTTTGCGTGCTCCCTTTGAGCTTTAGCTTAAAGAACGGCTTTGATGCAGCCGGAGTTATGATGGCGGTAAAATGGACGCGGTCACCTGACCGACTTTGAAGGGGCACATCACGGATGAGGTTTCCTTCAGTGTTTATGAGCTGCAGCCGCAGGGAACTGGTATCTACTTTCTCTGATCCAGCCAAAGTGATGACCATTTTGTTTAATTTGCCTTTAAGAATACAGAAAAAAAACTCTGTTATTCATCTAACTTTTTCACTCCCAAGAGCATCCAAGAATTCCTCTTGGAAAATACCGACACCATTTGAAAGTACTTGGCTAAAGAGGTTTCGTTTGAATGGTTAGTAGGACTGTAGAATGGTAGCCTGCGAACAGCAGACGCATTTCCGGTCGTCGCCTCTCTCCCTCCCAAAAACAGCTATTTTTCGGAGGAAGAGAAGGGACGACCGGAAACGCATCTGCTGTTCGCAGGCTAGTAGAATGGGAGCAGTCTCTTTTTGCTCAAAATCTGTGGGAGCGCGCCCGCGATAACGCGAGCAGCGAGTTGTGTGTGGTCTGCGGGCGCCAGTACGAGCAAACCCGGCACAACTCGTTGCCCGCTCGCACACCTTGGACACTCGCATTATCCGGCGCGCGCGCGCGCTCTCACAGATTTTCAAGCAAAAAAAAAAAGACAGCTCACAGTCTATAAGGACTGCAAAACTTATTTTTTTATGCTACAGTTTGTAACCTCATCAACGAAAGGCTCCCGTTTCTTTACGCAATCCTGATGTTTAAGGGACGTTTCCTTTAATCTCCTATATCAGCGCACAGCAAAAAAATATAAACGACTTACCAATTATTGGATTGGAAGTGGGTACTTCAACCATTCGTCTCCCGCGGCCTGGCATTTCAACCAGAAAGTAGTGTTCAAAATCTACGTTAGTGGCGCTGCTTGACTTAACAAAGAACTCATGCCCACCATTTCCACCAGACACAGTAAGGGTCCAGGCTCCTCTCTTGGGGTTGTGGATCTCAAAGACGGAGATCTGGGAAAGACCTAATTTGCCAGGTGTCACGATGTTATCTGGGTCTTGTAACGTTATTCCTCGCCCTGAGAGGAAATAAACGAAACATATGTTAGTAAAGTATACTGGGGACACTTAGAGATTAAAAAAAAAGTGATTTCGTTTCCCTTCTCCGAGTGGCACGGAGAGGCGACCTTTGAGAAGGACAGAGTTAGCATAAAGCTCTTAGCTCCTACAATAACGTTTTTTGTTTTCATTTACTCGAACTAATGTTGTGTTGAGAACTCATAACGATCTTTCAAACCTCGTTACCGGGCCCTCTCTTCCTCCAGTCCCTTCATGCTCCAGGGGACAAGAAAAAGAGAGGTAAACTGGGAATGAGTTAGATGGATCTGTTAGAGAAATGAGCTCAGCTAAATGAACTTAGCATGGGAGATGAAGCACGCTTATACATCGTGTTGAAGAAAGACAGTGCTAGAAGTCTCTATTACTCGGGCGCTTGCTCAAAGAACTCCTATTGGACGCTGAAAAGAAAGCCCTTATCTTCACCTCCTTTTCTCCCAAAATGAACTATCACAAACCTTTGGTATCTATCAGCGTGGTGGTTACGGTGACAGTCATTTCTTCGATGGAGTCATCCACTGGAATACTGTACCGGCTATCTGCCCCACTTACACTACGTTTCTTCCTGTTCGACGTGTTCGATCCAAAGCTCACCACATTGTCACCTTGCAGCACTCCATTCGTCAAATTGTTGAGTTGTTCCAGCTCCCACTGGTCTTTGAGGAGGATGGCCTGCCCGGAAGTAAACTCAGCTAATTCGCGGAAAGCCGGGTGAAGGTTTCTTGGATCTCTTCCGTCGTAACCCTGACTAGTGCAGAAGCCTATATTTTAAAAATAAAGAAGATTTTTTACTTCTCCGTAGCTTGTTCCAGGGATTTAAGATAGTAGAGTGCAGCGCGCAGTCAGAGTGGGGAAAAATAGGAAGGGAGAGAGGGAGGGGAACCCGTACCGCCTACTACCCTACCCCCTCGCTGTTATTCCTGCACACATCTTTTTGCGAGATCCCCCCAATCTGAACGCCTGGGGCATTATTTCCTTGGTACACTGGACAGGATGCTAGTTCAAAGCAAGGACACTTCCTCTAGCATTATATTGCCAGTATAACCATATATACACCTAATTATAAATCAAGATTTCAAGTCAAGAGAAATGACCTCAAGACATACCAGGAATTCGCCTAGTTTGAGCAACACCAGAGGAAATTTTTTTGGGCCTTTTGGCCTTTTCAGACTTCCGTGCAGAAAATTACAGCGTTATACTTTTTGCCAAAAAAAGGGTATATTGACATCGAACAAGGGAAATATTTCAAGGCCAAGGTTTCAGTAGAACGTCTCTTAGGACATTCAACCAGTAATGATTTTAAAGTTGGTAGCATACCTTCATTAAAAGAATTAAGGGTTAAATTGTTAAACATTGCAAGTAAAAAGAGCTGTTAACAAAGCAATCAAGTTTGGATAACATCCTATTAGCTTTTCACACAGAATGCCTTTCTGCTTGTCACGCGACAGGAAAGTGTGACGAACCCATAAGACCGTCTCTACAGGAGGCTATCCTACCGGTAGTGAAAAAGTTGATGGTCACGCCATATTCATCAGCGCTTGCCAAGGCCTTTACTTCTTCGATGTCGTACTCTGTAGCATCCTTTGGACCCGCATCTGTGAATACATACATAGGGGATCCCCATGCGGGGTCTTGGTACAAAGCCTCTAGCATTCCCTTGAAGGTATACTCCGGGCAATCCCCGCCCCCATGGGCTCTCAGTTTGTTGATTTCTGCTACAAATTCACCGGCTTCGGTCTCTTCTTTCACAATTACGGGTGGTGCATCTGTGTCAACGACAAAAACAACAACAACAAAAAATGGTTTAACCCTTTCACTGCCAGAGTGTTTGATGGAGTTTTGTAAGGTGAATCTAACTTGTGAGTCTGTGGACGAAATCCTATGATGTGGCCATTCAAATGAAAGCTCTCTGCCTGTACTCACACATGGTGCTATTTGTTTTACAAAATTTTACAAAATGAAATTAAAAATCTGGTCGAAATTTGCCTTTGGCTACATTTGGCAGTGAAAGGGTTAATAGACTCATTCTCAATGAACTCAGCCTGAAAACAGACAACATTTCGAGACGCCACCGCTGGTTTCCATGCGAAATGACGTATGAGGAACCAGCGCAGAAATTCCGCGCCGCTGGCTAATGTCTCTGATTGTATGAAGCTAATTTTCAACACTTTGGGCACGTCCTTTAAAAGGACTCCTCTTGGAGGTTCATTCTTTTTTCCTATTAAAGTAATGACTATATTGACAGTATTTAATAATTACTCGGCAATATAATAAGAGGATAGTTCAGGGCCTTAACTGGTTTTCACAAGAGCCATAATAGTCCTATTATGGCTCTTGGTTTTCACTAATAAAGTTCGAATTCTGAACCCTTCTCTATCGAAACATCATCATCATCATCATTATCACCATCACCATCACCGTCATCGTCATCGTCATCATCATCATCATCATCATCATCATCGTCATCGTCATCGTCATCGTCATTGTCATCGTCATCGTCATCGTCATCATCATCACCATCATCGTCATCATCATCATCATCACCATCACCATCATCGTCGTCATCATCATCATTTTCATTTCAACTAACCTGGTGGATACGGATCATTAAATGGCGACAGGATGTAAGTGACGATGGGGGCCTCTCGCGGGTAATTAATGATATCTATTGCAATGCTTTTTGCTGCTTCGATTTCTTCCCTCATGCTTCCTGTGTCATCTATAACGAACATCAGGGAGACATCGCCTTGTACAGCCATAAAACTATCAAAGGTATCGCTACCAACTCTCTGGCGAAGGCCTCGAAGAAATTCTTGCCCTTCGCTCTGCGAGCTTCTCTTTTTGCGACCAGGAGGCGCTGGCTTGGTGCTCAATAAGTACATAATTTGACCAAGGACCTAAAAAACAAAGAACACAAAACCATGTAACTTATAAACGCTATGGCTATACGCCGTAAGGTTTTTTTAATAAATAAGACTAAATGCCACTCTTGTTTTAGGCCTGATCACTTGGTAATTCTCACTGAAGATAGAATACTTTCAAGAGGTCAGCAAAAGGGATTGTGAAGAAATTCTACAACACTTTCTGACTGCCGGGCATTCATGATATTTAAGACCCTTCCCGGCTGCCGGGTATTAATAATATACACAGCGAATAAGCCGCTGTTTGTATTTACGAGCTTAAGTTGAAAACGATTATTCTCTAAGAGTGGCTCAGGAGGCAGGAGAATTGTGGACAGGATCCATTTCACCCCAAATATTTTAAGAACACACCTGTGGGGCTAGGTAAAGAGAGCGTAACTTAGTTTTCCGTGAAATAAACAACAACAAAAACAACAACAAGTTCCTGCGACGGTCCTGGCCTGCGAGAAGAGGTCAGTAGACTCCGAAGAGTACAATTAGACCCTGGGTACGGGGGGTTGGGATATCGATTGACCCCGACGACGATATCCCATTACGACCTTCGGGTTTTTCGCTTAACATTCGCAATGAACTAAAATGAAGATAACCTATGATCAGAGATGGAACCAAAAAAAAAACTAAAACATAATACAGATAAAGGGAGAGCAGGATACAATGAAGACTGTAACGGGAAATATAAGCGATTGCAAACATTTAAGATGTCTTTAGTCTTACCTGTCTTGCGTATTTATAGCTCTTACTCCGTATGGCTCTCTCCACAAGAGCTTTCAGTTTATTCAACGTCCGGGCGCTGAAGCGTATTCCAGAAGCTTTTGCATTAGCTACGGCTCGCTCAATATCGTTGATTGCCTCTAAGAACTTGTTAGAAGGTGAAGAACGTCGACGATACACCTTTCTTTTGTTTTGATATGTAACAACTGTTTCTGTAACCGGGACAAGTTTCGTTGGTGGAGGTTCCGTTCGTGGCGCTCGTTTAGGACCAGCCCCCCAGCCACTTTTGTGAATAACCGAGTACTTTGTAACTTTGGTTTTCTTCTTGGCTTTCGTAGGACGGACCCCAGGTACTTTTTTCATAACAGTTTTTGTCGTTTTCTTCGGCGTGAGGATCTGCACCGTTCGTTCGGAGCCACTAGAAAAGCTCATTAGAGAATCACGGGTGAACTGCAACGAGGAGAAAAAGCTGCCAGAGGATTCTTTTGAGGACAGTAGCAAAAGCAGAGCTGTTGCAAACCAAAGAAGGAGTGTTTGTTTCTCCATCACTTTCTGAGATGTTGATACGCAAGTCTTCTTCAAAACGTAATCGGCGATTTCAAGAAAAAAAATACTCTTTTTACGGTCACCGGAAGTTGTGAAATGATACGGCTCTCTTTCGTCGCCAACGATGAAACGGAAATTGACATCACTTTCAATTGCGTCGTCCCAGCACGTAGCCTCCCCGCAGAGGTCCTTTGGGGTTCGTTCGTCACGCATTCAATGAATGCGTGACAAACGAACTCCAAAGGACGTCTGCGGGGAGGCTACCCAGCACGTCAACTGAATTTTGGTCAAAATGGAAGCGGAAGACTAAAATCACCCACCCTTCCCTCCCAAAAATATAGAGGATAGTAAAAATAGTGCGCTCTGCCCTTCTCGCGGCTTTATCCTTACTTCAGCAGGAAGGAAAGGTTTGCTTTTCCATTTCATATTTTCCAAGATTTTAGCCTTTTATGTTGACATTTGCATCCATTGTAGAAAAATGGTTTATCGCACGTTACGCAATACTGTGCGTCAAAAAATTTTCTGTTTTACGCTTGTCTTTGTTGGACACTGCACTGGGTAACAACATTAAAACATGTTGAGGTATTTTAATATTTTTTTTCCGTGGGTGCCTCGGATGAAGAATGTAAGAAGCCTGACAGTCTAGCCCGTGTACAGATTCCCCCTCCCGTCAGTAAAAAATCAGGATAGGGGCAAGTCACAGATGCCCCCTTTCCCAATTTTTAATCTGACTCACATTAATTTAGTCTAGATCACCAGCCGCTGTTCGGGAAATGATCCCGCGCTCCTCCCCTCCCTTGTCAGTCGCGGAGGAACAAGAACAGACATAGTCTCCTTCGCAGTCGTTAAGGGCGGAGTCACGCAATGCTCCCCGTCCCTACGGGAACATTGCGTGATTCCGGCCCGCGAAGGTGCGAAAGAGACAAGACCGGAGTTAATGAGAGCGGCGGAAATTGAGCCTGAAATGATGTGCAAATGATCGTCCCTGGTGTATTTGGTAAAAATAAATAAATAAATAAATATTACAGAACCTTCATTGAATCAAAGTTGCGTCGGGAGATCAGTTAAAAATGCAAAGTACAACGTTTTGTTCGCAGCCGGATTAAAATCCCTACAAATGCATATAACGGCTCATTTCGTGCAAGTTTAATTTCCATTTAATACTAATAAAAAATAATAATAATAAAAAAAAAAAACAGAAACGCCTTGGGCTGCGTACATGAGACTTCACAGACGCTGACTATAGCTACTTAGCAGAATCTGCTGATCAAAGACGAAGGTAAGTTATAAGACTCAAAATCGTCAATAATCGACCTTAAATAACGCAGTATAATGTATATTAGCATGATTCTTACAACACCATCAAGCCTCGACGTTTCCCTGACCGATACGGCAAACATGGGTAGATGAATCCAGGACTACATCGCAGAGCAGATCGTTTGTGTTCCGGTGGGATACTGTAATTTTCTCTGCTTAAAAATCCAGCGGATAGGTTCGACTCACTTTTTGGGTCTTGGCCGAAGGATGCGACAGGTGTCTTCTCGTAAAACCATTTTAGTGATCTTCTGGCCTGAAAACAAGCACTTCCGTTGACTTTACCAGTGTTAAAAAAATAATGTGTGAAGAGCAAATGTGATGAAGGCGCACATCAGTAGAAAGCATGCATTTCTTTACTCCTTTTAGTTGACTCTCTACAAAATGAACATCTCTCTAAAAGGGGACACATAGTGCCGGTCCAAAAGGTGTCCTTCTTAGAGGAAGTTGACTGTACAGTCCACTCTCTCTTAACGGATACCTCTATAAAATGGACACCTCGAGTTGATCCCTGCCTTTCTTTACTCCTTTTAGTGGACTCTCAATTAGTAAAACGAACATATCTCTAAGGAGGAACACATGGTGTCGGTCTGAAAGGTGCCTTCCTTAGAGGAAGTTGACTGTATAGTCCACTCTCTCTTAACGGGACTATAAGATACCTCTAGTTGAAGTAGACACCTTTTAGTTGACTCTCTAAAATGGACACCTAGAGTTGATCCCAAAAGGCCTTTTGACTGTACTTCCACTCTTTTAGTGGACTCTAAGATGGAATTATAAAAAACGAACATCTCTCTATAAAAGGAAGGGGGAACACATAGTGTCGGTCCAAAAGGGTTCTTAGAGGAAAACAGTGTCCTCTTAACTATAAGATGGACACCTCTATAAAATGGACACCTCGAATTGATCCCTGCCTTTCTTTACTCCTTTTAGTTGACTCTCTATGAAATGAAAATCTTTCTAAGGGGAACACGTGTCTCGAAAGGTGTCTTCTTAACGGACAGCTCTATAAAATGGACACCTAGAGTTGATCCCTGCCTTTCTTTACTCCCTTTAGTTTACTCTTTTTATTTTGTTTTGTATTTTTAGTTTGTCGAGCGTTTTTAACATGAGCCGCTGGCTCGGAAAATTGTGCAAACACTTCCCACGTCTTCGACATTGAATAAAATATTCTATTCTTTTCTACTCTCTCTAAGACGGACACTTAGACCCTGTTTACATGGAGTGGGGGACCCCGGTCTAGTGGGGTAAGTTTCTTTTGTTTTGTGTCCCACAGAGCGTGAAAACAAAAGAAACCAACCCCACTAGACCGGGGTCCCCCACTCCATGTAAACAGGGTCTTAGTGCCGGTCCCATGAAGATCTCCCTCTTAGAGAGAGATGACTGAGGGTCTCAATGGGAGTCGCGTAGCCTTGACGTTGACGGTTAAATTCTAGAGCTTGACGGTTATTAAGTAGAAATTTAGTCCAAAAGTTTACGTAAATATTAACTTTTAATGAATTAACTGTTGTGTCTTGGAGTTTGTCTTGGCCTTTCACTCATAAAATTTCGAAATATTTTCAGACATAAGCAGGTTCTAAGGTATTGTAATGTCTCGAAAGAGAGAACATGAGAACATGGGAGCTGGTTTTTCCAGTTTGGAGATTTTTCAGGAACCAGAATCCCCTAAAGATCAGCTGAACCTGAGTGAGATTTGAAATGCCATGAAACTTTTTGACGGTCATTAATCTTATTCTGCATTTTTGACGCTTGAAGGTAAAAAATAACCTCTCTTGACGGTTGACGGTTAATTTTTAGGCCGCTTGACGACTGACGGGTAACCTCACTGAGACCCTCTTGACCGTATGACGAATATAGGTGATATACCAAACGCGAGAATGAGTGTCCAAGAAATTAAGAAACACCTAAATGTGGTTGAAATAACACGTAGTCTGGATATGAAAAAGGTCGAACTGAATTACGGAAAAAAACGCGGAAAAGGAACTCATACCTTGAATTTCCTCGGAGGTCCTTTGGAAACAGATCCCAAAGGAAATGCATGGTTGGCAAGACAAATTGCTGAAAAAACTGCGACCACCATTGCTTTTTTTGAGCAGATCATCACTGCTTCCTTTAGCTACGTGAAGTAAACAAATAACGTATTAGCGAATTCGTTTTGTACTATTCATGGTTTATTAATAGGAATAAGAATGCTGAAGGCCCGCAATAACTCATCCAGTAAAACTAATTAGTCAGTTCGCATACCTTCTATCTTCTCTCTAGAGATCGTCGCGCGTGCGAACAGGAGAAACCGGGGTTTTTTTTGTTTTTAAGTTATTAAATGAAGGCGTGAAAACGAGCTATTTAAATCTTTTGAATATTTTTTGCTCTAAGAAATATTTAATATCTTTAAAGGTACTCACACACTTCTATCTTAAACGCTTTGAAGCTCACCGAAACGACTCAGTTTCCGTTTACACTGTACAGTTGTAACTGCGCGAAGGTGGGCGGAAATTGGAAATTTTGTCGTATTCTTTTCTTTGAACATAAATGGTCGATGTATAA